TATATATATATATATAAGCAACGAATTACAACGGTATTATGCCTACATTGTTGCTTGCAGCGTTCCCGGGGGCGAGCTGTTGGAGCGCATAACATCACCCAACTACATATTGACCGAGAGAGACTGCATTATTTTCATGAGGCAGTTATGTGAGGCTGTCCAATACATGCATGACCAAGACATCTTGCACCTTGATCTAAAGCCAGGTAAATTTTGGTTTAGCAGTAAAAAATTGTAGGTTAACACTGGAATGGACGACGATTTTGAAGGATTGATGAAAATGATGATTGGAAAGGAAAAAATGGATTCCAATTGGTATATGTAACTGCTGAATTACGTATACCCACTTCTTTGTGGTTTTTTTGCAGAAATAATTAATGCGTTTTGGGAGCTTTTAAAGCAGATTGGTGTCGAGATCTGATCCAGTGCTCCTTGTTTTTCAGAAAATGTGCTCTGTGTCAACGATAACAGTAACCAAATAAAGCTGATCGACTTCAATCTGTCGCGCCCTCACAAGCCCGGAGATACCACAAAAGTGATGTTTGGCACACCCGAGTTTGTTGCTCCGGAAGTGATTAACTATGAGCCAGTTGACAAGGCCACGGACATGTGGAGCGTTGGTGTGATTGCTTACACTCTGTAAGTTTCTCTACTGTTCACGTTGACAATTTTAAATCTATAAGCACTGCCATTCGCTATTATTTCCCCCGTATTGCTGTATATTAGAATGACTCATTTCCTATTTTTAGAAATTACGTTATAAAAGTGCTTACGTGTTATAAATGTGCTTGTTCTCAAATTGTCACGTGCTGCTTTGTAAACTTCATGAAGAACAAATATATTAGTGTATACTGTTTCACATGTATTATAATATTGACTGCTATTGGACAACAACAAATATTGCTACTATAGCTCTCATCAATTTCGTTTGTAGGCTTTCAGGCTTGTCTCCGTTTGCTGGCGAGACTGACCAAGAAACACTAGAAAATGTCACCAAGGGTGAATGGGACTTTGATGACGAAGCTTTTTCAAACATATCTGAAGAAGGCAAAGACTTCATAACGCATCTTATAGAAAAGGCACAGAGGTTTGTTTTTTAATTATTAGTTCAATAACACTCAAATTTCCACACGGCTGTCATCCGTATACCGTAAATTCCAATTAAGTAGCATGTAAACTAACCATGCACTTAGGCTAGTTGGGCGAGTGGGAGGATGAGAAATGCGTAAGAGGAGTCGGAATAGAAGGAGAATGCGGAGGAATAGGAGGTCGGAGGAAGAGGAGGAAGTGGGAAGGTGTAGTTGGAAACGGATGAGATAGCGGGGCTGTTAGGGGAGCAGGAGGAGGATAAAAATGTGCATAAGGATGGGGAGAACGTGGATAAGGAAGAAGAGGTAGAAGAAGGGGAACAGCATACGACTGACTAGGAGTAAAAACAAGATAATGAGGAGGAAAGGGGAGAGCAAGAGCATCAGAAAAAAAACGACCGATGTTTACGGTAGAACTGAGAACATTGTAGAAATCGGACATCTCACATTACTTTGTTCATTGCCAAGTCGTTTCTCCTAAATTGTGTAATTCACACACAGGAAGAGAATGAGCGCTGAAGAGTGCATAGGACATCCTTGGCTAGCTCAGGATCCAAACAGAGTCAAAGGCACCACAATCGATACAGACAAGCACAAGCGACTACTGGTCCAGAGAAAGTGGCAGGTTAGACAGTTATGCAATCAATGTTGCATGATCATATACATTAATACATGCTATGATGTATGCATGCATGATTGGAAATTGCAAGAGGGCTATGCCTAACGTCGTGATATTAGTTTTAGTGCATCTCTTAACTTATATATACCTTTTCTATTAACAATTCTAATTACATGGTATTTCGACTAAAATTTATCTGGTTGTATCATTTAACAAATGCGATTCCCATTTCAGTGGTTTAACAAAACTAATCTCTTGGCTAACAATACATTAATGTTTTTAACATCACCTGTGCTTTTTAAAATGATTGTGAATTTTTGCATGCCCCTGTCAATGTTTATTTACGTACTTTGTAGAAAGCAGCCAATGCAATGCGTGCGTTGTCGCGCCTTGCCAATCCTTATGGAGGGTGTCAGAACTTTGTCCGAGACCGTGGTAAACCACTTGTCACTGGGAGCATAACACGGAACTACGCATGCGATACTACTCCGCTCAAACCTACAATCTGGACAGTAGAGTTCCTGCCTGGCACGTGTACGAACGAGAGCTTTGGTAGTAAGAGTAAATGGGAGACCGATGCCAATGATGGTTGCAGTACTAACATTAAGGAAGGCGGGGATAAACATAATTCTCCGCATATGAATGCTAAACATTTAGATGTAATAAAAAGACAGGATACTACAGATTCTGTTAATAGCACGCTAGATCCCGATGGACAAGAATCATATGTATCGCCAGATCGTTCCAAGAGTTATTCCAATGACCATGAAAACAATGTAGCTAAAACTGAAGGAGAGTGTGGCAGGACTTGCGAACCGAGGTTAAGTGAAAGCAAACTTAATAGTGACAGCTCAGACAAGAGGTTATATGTGAAAACAGATTTGATCTCCCTTCCCAATAAACATCTGGAATATCACTCACCTTATGCAGATTTAAACGATCGAGATAGCGGTTGCCATCACAGATCCATAAGGATCAACCCGATAATGTGCAATGATGCGTCACCTAACAGTAAAGAAACTAAAATATCCGGACCAATCAGTCGTTTAAACGAGGTGGTGGCGACAATAAACATTGAAAATCAAGTAACATCTCAAACATCTGAGGGGCAAAGCATAAACCAGATAACTTCTAACGGACGCGTTGCAATGAAATACACAGACGAACTACAGTTTAGACTTGACTCTACGGCTGGTAAAAACAAAGACAAAAATATGCCTGCAAATTTAGAAACAGTGAGTGATTCGTGCGTTGTTTTGCCGAAGTGGGACAGTGGTAAATTACCTACAAAGCAATACAACAATTGGAAAAGTGTGTTGCAATCTCATAGGTACGGAAGACAGCTGCTAGTTAATTCACAGGATGGTGGCGAACACAGGAGACGAGTGCGGGCGGATTCCCGTGTAGTTTCCTTTAGAGATCTTTCTTATGTTGAGCAGGATTATGACGGAAAGTTTCTCTCTCCAGTCAACAAATATTTCTCCACGAGTTAAGCTATCCCGCCAAAAAACACAATTGAACATCCAAAACGTATTCACGATAGCCCTGATTATTTCACTCAAAATTACAGCTGAAATTAAGAGGCATATTGCGTGCATAGTAGGTATTAACCAGTATACTATATATATATAGTACTAGCGATGTGTATAGAATTCGGATGAAAAGAATTGTGATTTATTCTCCTGCTACCTACTAGAACCTGACAGTGTACTAATCACTTCAGGCTTTGGTCATCAGTTGCTTGTTGCAGATGAGTTTTGGGATCAGCTAATAACGCGCCACCTTGATTTTCGAAACAATGTACGCACAATCATAGTGGATCCTGTCATATACACTTGGTTAGTCGCTTGCTCGCGGGCTAGTACGACGCCAATGTTACACGAATGTTACACGAAGTAGGCGCACGCGGGACGTTCTGCCTTGGTTTGTTTGGTCAGCGTCGCGTGGCGATTAAAGCTGGGTTTACACTGCCAACTTTGTGTTGGCGAATTGGCGAATTGGACCAACTTCCCAACGCTCTATCAAACGTTCTATGAACTGTGCAGCGCGTTTACACTGACGACTGCGAGTTGGCCAACTCGATCGAGCGGTCAGCGTCGACAGCGAGCGTACGCGTGGGGCGATGGATATAGGCATTATTGCATGTATAAATTCTTGAGGTATCGCACGCACAGGCGCAAAGAACCGTGCACAGTCACATATATAGGGCGGGATGCCACGAAGGCAGTGGATTACTGGAGGGGTTTCCTATTGGATTTGTCCATGCTCGTGATGCTGACCTCCTCCTCATGTGCACGTGCGCGTGTACGTGCGCGCACGCGTGTACCTTCCCCGTGTACAACAGGTGTACGTGAGTGTACGTATCTGCCGTACACAGATGCACATGACCACACGCGTCCGCACATATACACTCCTGCGTGCACGTACACGTATGAGCGCACGTTCAATCGTGCGCGCACATACACGCATTCCCGCACGTACACGCATGCGCGCACGTACACGCATGCGCGCACGTACACACGTGCGCGCACGTACACACGTGCGTGCACATACACGCGTGCGTGCGAGCACGCACGCCTGCGAGCGTGCACATTAGAAGCTCGGCTGCACGTGCTTGGACAAACCCAATGCCCTCCTATCGTGGCAACACCGGCATCCTGACTCTGTGACTGTGCACGAGTCTTTGCGCCTGTGCGTGCCGTACCTCGGCTTTTATGCCACAGAGAGTCGTGTTAGCTTAATTCCTAATTGCCTGTCTCGCAGTGTTGTTATAACAATAATCCGTTAGTTCTATCTGCACGGTGGGCAGGATGTGCCTGTCGTCGTCGTCGTCGTCGTCATCGTCGTCGTTGTTGTTGTTGTTGTTGTTGTTGTTGTTGTTGTTGTTGTTTTTGTTGTGCTGTTTCTTGGCGGCGGCAACGGAGAGGAGAACAGGGGGAAGAGAAGGATGTTGGGGATGCGGATAAGGATCGTATGCGAGGATGCCATGTACGTGCACGCACTGGTTGTTGAGCGACACCTTGTTCTCTGCAACTTCTCTGTGTCCTCGCGAGTTCCTGTGACGTCGGCACCTCGGCGACGTAGCGCCCAAAGTAAATGACGTAGGGACGATGCTCAGCACGCAAAAAAGAGCGTGGTGGCGTGGTGCACATCGCAAATTCTGACCTTACTACTTCGTTGGGGCGGTATTGCCCGCCTCATTCCCATTCCTACCCTATAAGGTATAGCGATTGGGACATCGCCACCTCGGCGACATAACGCCAAAAGTAAATGGCCTAAGGCAGATGTTACGCATTTAAAACAAAGCGTGAATGCCGGACAGTTTGTGCGCATTGCAATTCCTATCACTTTGATTGTGAATTGTGATTCAAAATTTTCACTTTGGTCGCAGCATCCCGCAGCATTTTTCCCTATGCTAATATACATGAACTGACGCTCGCGTCGCTCGTCGCTCGTCGCCGTTGCAAGCCAAGATAAATACCTTCGGTCGATCTTGAGCATGCAATCGACGTTACGTGTGCATTGTAAAATCCCATCTACAACATTCTCTTTGCTCGCAGCATCGCGCTCCGGATTCCGCGTATGCTAATTGACGTAATTGTACATGAAGATGGCGCTCGCGCAACTTTTGCGTTTACACTGCCGATTGTCAGTTGCGAAGTTGCCCTACCAATTCCGGATTCGCAACCAAGAGCACGTTGCAGTGTAAACGAGACTTAACGTCTGCCGCCGTGCGCTGGTGCTTACAGCAGCGTCCGCCGTTCGTTCGTCACGTCGCAGTACGCACATACACAGGCGGGTGCCGTCGCGGTGGTGCGCGCTGCCTCCTTCACACATCGCGCCGGGCTGCGTAGGCGTGTGCGCGTGCATACCATCACGCCCCTGCGCGTGCCGTGCTCGACCGCCCCAGTACTTACAGGCGTGCCGTGCAGTGCATGCGTGCCCTTAACAGCGTCATCCGTATAGCGTGTAGGCTGCCTTACCCACCGCGCTGGGCGTGTGCGGTCGCGTTCACAAGCGTGGCTCGTGCCCTACCCCATGCGCGCTGGCGCTGCGCCTTTGCGCATGGCCATTACACCCACCAGGTTCGCGTGCGTGCGTGCGTCCGCCTAGCACGGCCGTGCTGTGCGCGGTGCTGCGCGCCTTCACCAGCGCGTGAGTGCGCCGTGTGCCCGCGCTCTAACAGCGCTGGTGCTGATGTGTAGGCTGCCTCCTACCAGCGTGGCGTGCGAATTGTGAACGTGCGTTCACCACTCTCTCTGCCCTCGGTTCGCGCTGTTACAGGCACGCGGCGTGCGTCGCCGTGCTCTCACACCCCACAGCCAGGCCTGCGGTGAGTGGTGGTTGCCCTTACGCCACCAGACGCCGCTGCACTGGTGTGCCGGTGACTCTACACCACGCAGGCGTGTGCAGCCGCTGCCCTGTAGTAGCCTCTCGTTTACTCGCCCTGGTATGACTGTGTCTTTCAGATCTCTCTTTCCCTCATGCCGCGCCCTCGCTCTTCACCCAATGTACTCACACTATCTCATGCTTCACTCCACAGCTCATTGACCACCGCGAGCCGCACACGTCGGAACGCAATCTCTGTACGTGCCCAACATCATCGTCAAGTCGACGCCGATGTATTACCCAACTTCTGTCGCTAGCCATACGCTCACGCTACTTCAGCGCGCTCCCGCGCCGTTTGCTGGTGGGCTTCAATCCAATCGGTTTCGCTGCCGTCCCATGTTGTGCGTTTAAGAAGCCTTGCCGGCCCTTCTACTGCTCGTCACGCTTCCCCTGCTCCGCCCTTGCGTACGAGCGTAGGAGCCCCTACCTCTATCACTCACTCACTCGGGCATATACAGTGTTTTACTGCGCTCCCTCCTTCCCCACTCCTCTCCCCACATGTCTGTGGTCGCCGAAACCCTACGTGTCTAGTGCGCCGACCGGAGATTCGTTGCACCCGCGCCCGCCCCACGCCGCCGCCCGCGCCCTTGCCACGGGCGTGGCACCAGCAGCACCGC